GGCTAGGGTTAATTCAAGAATCCTGGTTGACTTCCTACTCTTTTCTCCCTCTCTTTTTTTCTCTACTACTGAAATCTTTGATCTTCCTCCTCTTTTCCTTTCACAAGAAATTCAACTAAATCTACAATCAGTGATTTCTACTAAGCCAATTTTTTGAGGATAAAAATTTTCTGTTTTACATGATTTTAGTGTCATTAGATGGGTAATGGAGTTAGCTTTCCACCAAGACCAATATCTTGTAAATCCAACATGTTTTGAGGGAGTTATTGACATTTTAGTGATGTGACAAGATTTGGATCTTCGTATTTCTTAGGTTAATTTTGGAGTTTCTTTTGGTTTGTTTAGATGTACTAGGATTAGCAGTATCATTCGATTTTTTTAGGGAGAGTCCTTTGGGTACCTCTATGGATTTGCCTTAGTTTGAAGCAGTTAGAAGTTGTTTTGGGTCAGTTTTTGGGTCTACGTTAGTTTCTAAGAAAAAAATTCAAACCCTTATATTGAGTATAAAATATAAATAGAGCCAATGTAATTGGAATTATAGAGTTGAATGAATAGAATGAAAGTTAAGTTGTTTGCATTTAGAGTTTGATCTTCTTTCTCCCTCTTTTTCTCTCTCTTTGTATCTAACTACAAGAGTGCAGCCTTTCTTTTCCACGTTCTTTATTTCAAATATAAATCTCTTCCTCCCATAATTCAGACCCTTAATTCCCCTTCTCTACACTATGTTCATGACAACGGGAATTTTCTGCTTCCAATCCTACATCATTTTTAGGAAACTTTATGGTGACTCAAGACTCTTATCTCTCTCTATTTGCTTGTTGAAAGATGCTTTTGGTGGTGATTTGAAGCAAAACCTTGGAACAATCTTAGTACATTGGATTGTTTTCCATCACATGAGTAGGTAACTGAATCAAATTTGCAATTTTCTACTAATATGCTATCAAGCCATAGAGAGAGAATTCACTCTTGAAAACTGTCCTTCATGGAAACCTCCAATTTTTTTATTCCAGTTTCTCTCCTAAATTAACCTCTCCTTGAATTACTTCCATCCAAAGATTCCTTTGGAGTAGGTATCTGAATCAAAATTGCAACTTTCTACTAATATGCTATCAAGCCCTAGAGAGAGAATTCACTCTTGAAAACTGTCCATGGAAACCTCCGATTTTTTTATTCCAGTTTCTATCCTCCGATTTTTTTTATTCCAGTTTCTATCCTAAATTAACCTCTCCTTATATTACTTCCATCCAAAGATTCCTTTTCAGCCATTTGCTTAAACTTCATCTAATGTTCAATTTATCTCAATTTTCTCTAAAAAAGTTCTGCATATGCAGGATTTTTAACCCCTTTTTTAATTTAACCAACTCTGTTTTCCCTACATTCAATATTCATCTATAATCCTTCTCTTAATCTGCTGCCTACATCTTCCCTAACCCTGCTTTTATTTTCCTTACCTTTTAAAATAGTCCAAACATACCACTTTTGGGACAAATTTTCCAACTATATGTCAATCAGACTCTGATATTAACTAAATAAAATTGAGATTAGATGTCTTCAATTGGTTCTGAACCTACAACCATGTAGTTTAAAAAATAGTACCCAAACTAATTTTGCCAATATGTTCATTATGCATATACACATAAATATGTGTGGATGGGTATTACCGGATCCTATTTAACCCATCTGGCCAGGGATTCCAAAGCTCTGATAATAATAATAAAAAAAAAAAGATCTACATCTAAGATTTAGAATTTGACTTGATTGGATTCAGATCATGATCCAACCCATTGACGGCCTTATCTATAGAAAATAAAATAAAAAAAAAACTTCCCAAGTATCTTCAACATATGAAATACTAAATTACCTCACATCTTCCTTAAAATCTTCAGAGTCCTCATATGAAGAAAACCGTCGATAGATAGTCTGACAAAGAGTAAAGAAAGTAAGTATAAAGAAGATGGAGATCTGTTGACATTAAAGAG